CCCCCGCTGGTTTGCCCGGCTCCCCCCGGATCCACGGCGAGGTGCGCTTCAGCCCAGTGGTAACCAAGACTTGGGGCGCACCCTGGGGCCAGCGCAGCCAGGTTCCAGGCCTCAGCCCCCTCCCGCTGGGCTCCCTGCGTGGCCAGGTGGGCCCTTCCCTGGTGGTTTTCCAGTCCGAGCCTCGCGAGGCCTCTGCATTGGCTCAGCCAGATGGCGACAGCTGCCCGCTCCACTCCCAGCCACAGCCCACACCTCCTGGATCAGCCCTCTGGGGCAGCGGCCGTCCTGGACCTTGCCTGGTGCCTTTAAGGAGGTGGTAAAGGCTATGCGCACAATGGACTGTCACTGTCAGCAGGCAGTTTCCCGCCCCGAAGGCTGTCTGGGGTCCCGGGTCAAGGAATCCTGTCTGGGAAGGACTTCTCCCATGAGCTGACTTCGCCCATGAGCTTGTATCCTGGCTCCGGTCTGGACCCTTCCACCACCGTCAGGGCCTGACCCACATATGAAGCTAAGCAGATGCCCCCGAATTTCTTTATGAATGATAATAATTGTTAATACATATTGAGCACTTACTCCATGCTAGACACTATGGCAAATGCATTATGGATATTAATACAGCAACCCTAGAGGTTGGGAATAATTAGAATCACCCTATTTTACAGATGAGGAAATTGGGTTACCAAGAGACTAAGGAGCTTTCCCAAAGTCTCATGGCAAAGGTGCTGCCCTCCCTCCACAGCACCTGGTTTACTACCTCTAGTCCAATCCACGTGTCCCTCCAGGCTGAACCAGTTCTTGGACACCCTGAACCCAAATAGCCAAAGGTGAACTGCCCCGGACGAGTGGCCACTGATAACTCTGAATACTCCAAGCCTTTGAGCAGCTGTTTCCGCTGCCTCAGACTTACCCTTTCTCTTGCCTCTACCACACTTATCATCCTTCCAGCCTTCCTCCAGGCAGCCTTCTTGTCATCCAGGAGTAGGTTGGGTCCCCCATTCCCCTCCAATTCCATGTGAAGTCATAGCCCCCAGAATTTTCCCATCTCAGCCCTTAGCACTCTGTACAGCAACTGACTGCCTTTCCTCCAGACTGGAAGCTCCCAAGTAGGCAGGGATTATTAAAGTCTTGCTTTAATTTGTTTTAGTTATTTTTTTTAAAAGAAAATGTAATTGTTTATTGAAGTGTAATACTCTCAGTAAAGTTCACAAATCTTAAACGTGTATACAGCTCAATGAATTTTAATGTATGCACATAGCTATGTCACCACCGCTCAGATAAAAAAATAAAACGCATGTAGTGCCCAGAAGTTTCCCTGGTCCCCTCCCAGTCATTATCCCCACCGGGAGGTAACCACTGTTTTGACCACTGTCACCACAGTTTTGCCTTTTATGAAACTTCAATTAAATGGAATCACAGGGTAATATGCTTTTGTGCCTGGCTTCTTGCTCAGCACTAGGTCTGTGATAGTCGTTCGAGTTGCTTCCTGTTTCCATGGTTCCCTTTTTATTCCTGAGTAGTATTCCATTGAATGGATTTACCAAATTGATTTCTCTGTCATACCAGTGCGTGAACATGGCGGCTAGGATATGAAAGATCTGGAACTCTCATTCTTTGCTTGTGGGAGTGTAAATTGCTACAACCACTAAGGAAAACTCTGTCTTATCCATCATTGTTATAATAACTATCATTTATTGAGCATTTACTATGTGCCAGGCACTTTACTAAGTGATTCGTCTGCATTATCTCACTTAACCCTCATAATGATCCTAGGAAGTAGATAGTTGCCATCTCAAAACTGGACAATCGTGGTATCAGTGCTGTAGGATTATTGTGACGTTTCACTGGGCTGACACCTTGAAGGATTAGCTCAGAGCTGCCATTCTGGACTCTTGGTTTACGATACCTGTTATTGTTATTACTAAAGGGCACAGGGTTGGGAGTTCAGGGGCCTGGGTCCCATCCCTGCCTAAGCCAACCTGAGCAAATCACCTCAGCAGCCCTGACCTCAGGTCCCCTGATAGGTCAACAGTCTACTAACAGGGGCCTTGTGGAGGTGGCACAAGTTACCCTCTTCAGCAAGGCCCAGGCTCTAACCTCAACACCGCCGCGGAGGGGTGGGGAGGACACAAGGCTGAGGCTGTGTATCAGGAAGGACCTTGGGCGTGTTCAGGAGCCCTCTGCTACAGCATCTTCTAGAAACTGAGTGCAGAAGGTCCTTTCAAGCTGTGATTGTTCGATACCTGCCTCTCAGTAGCCTGTAAGCTCCTCAAAAGTTTGATCCATGTATGTTTTTCAGGCATTTGTTCACAAATAGGATTTAAGTGCCTCCCTTCCTCCAGGCACTATGCCAAGACCTGGGAGATACCACAGTGAACAAGACATCTGAGGTAGGGAGAGGGACACCACACGAGGCAACAACCAAGGAGCGGGAGACTTAGGGTGTGAAGGAACCTCAGGGGGGCCACGAGGGGAGGAACCCCTGGGGAGAAGGGTGCTGGAGAGTAAATGGTCACTGAGACCTTGAAGCTCTCGGGGAGGGGGAGCCCAAGGGGACCCGAGCAGGTGACAAGCTCCTGGGCCCTGAAGTGAGAGGGCAGAGGGTGGCCGAAGCCGTGAGGGAGGCGTGGAGGGGAGGTCTCAGGGGGCCGAGCTGCCAGTTCACAGTGGGCGCTGGAGGGCAGGGCAGGGAGCGTGGGTCGGATCCTAAGGCCCACGGGAAGCACTCGCAACGCCTCAGGCTAGAGGGCCACGTGGAACCCAGGTCCCGAGGTCTCCTGACGCCCGGTTGGGGTGGGGGCGCCCGTGGAGGGGGCCGGGCTGTTGCCCAGTGAGTGGGTGAGTGAGTGCGGGCATGCACGGGCAGACGCGGGTCTCGGAGTAACAGCTGACCCAGCAGGGCCCAGGCCCGCGCCGGCTCCCTGGCTCCAGGCCCAGCGACCTGGCGCGGTGACCTTGGCTCATCCCCGCCCCAACTCCGGGCCGGAACCCTGCGTCTCGGGGGCGGGAGGACGTGCGAGGAGGGACCGTGCGCGCGCAGGGCGGAGGGCGGGG